AGTATCCCCAGAGTATACCAGTTATTGGGTCTTGAGCTGGTTCCTAGCTTTCCAAACGAACTTGGTAGTGTCGGTGAGCCTAGAGGTTAATATGGAATAGGTCTACATGAATATTTCTTGTTTGGCTGGTCTTCCAGGGACCCTGCTCTGGTTTAGCCTTTAAGAAAGAGAAAGTTGGACCCCAGCTGACACAACTGAATCAGCTCTTCACAGAATTCTCCAAATCCTAAGGATTCAGTAGGGTAAAGGAACAGAAATATTTTCAGCTTGCATATATGGGCTGAACCTGAAAAGAGACACCTATAAATTCTTTGAGATACAATCTGACTGCTCACCAACAGGTATCTCCCATTATGTCCCTTCTCCTCCACCCCTTTCCTCCAAAGTTTGCCTGTTCCCCAGCTTGTATTCTAAAGTTCTTTTCAAATTCAAGAGATGGAGGTGAGGTGAGCTATTGCAGAAATATAGCCAGAGGGTCCCCCTCCCACTGAAAGGGTTTACAACCTCCACAAAGGGGAGAGACCCACTGGGAAACTTCTACCTAGCTCCAAGCATTAATCAGATTGCCTGTTAAACTGTGCTCTTCCTACCAGTCCCTTTGTCCTTCACCCCTCTCCTGGCCTACACTGCTGTGGTGAAAACCTACACGTTACAACCTTTTCTGATTTCAGCAGAATCAAATTGGGCATGCTTGGTAGCTAAAACATCAGGTGGCAAAGCTGTGCCCTAACCAGAGGACACCATCTGAAGCTTCATTTCATAGGACTTCAAATTACAAGACATGTTTTAGAGCAGAAGAGAGAAGGGAGATGTTGGCAAGTTTAGCTAAGGATGAAGACTGTACACTTGGAACCTGACTTTTTTCCCTCCCTGATCTAGAGAATAGTTATCCAAATAGATTTTCATTTCTGGCAACATATGTGTACAAAGGCACACCTGTATTAAATAGAAAAATGAAATTTGAAAAACAAGTTGCAGAAGTACTTTCTATTTGTTAGGAACAACATGGAGAAAACTTGTAAAGAGACCATGGAACCACGCAGAGAGTCCTGGATTTGCCATCCCAGCACCCAGGCTGGAATCCAGGTTCTGCTTCTTACTATTAAATAGGATAATGTATGCTAATTCCTTTGCATACCTTAAAAGCAGTATATAACTGTGAGCTATTATTATATTGTTATTCCCTTGTGACTTTAAGCAATGCATTTCACTTCTCTGGGGTTGATTTTCCTCATTTGTAAAACAACAGGTTGGGACTAATATCTCTAAAGGCCCTTCCTACACTAAATCATACACTCAACTTTCTTGAAACTTAATAGCCTCAGAGATCCAGAAATGGGATCACACAGTTTATCATATTGGATAGAATAAGCACGATGCAGTGGATAGAGTTTTGGACTTGAAGTCAGGGAGGCCCAGGTTCAGATCTATGTCACAATGTCCAAGTCACTTCCTCTATTAGCCTCAGTTTCCCCATCTGTAAAATGAGGATTATAATACATCTGCCATTGAGGTGCTGTGCGATTCCAGTGGGATCCAGTGTACAATGCTTTGCAAATTTACATAAATGCCGGTTATCAAAACAGACCCTCTGCTCCAGTTTCCTGAAAGGATACACCAGCTGCAAGTAGCAGAATTGCCAAAGAAATTACCATTCCATTGGATGTTTTCTGCCAGAAAAACATCAACAGTTACCTAAAAGTGAAATATTTCTATCATCAACCCTTTAGGTTATTTCAAAGGGAAACCACTGCAAACCAACCTGAAAATTAGAAAAGATGATTCTCCAAAGATAGCAAACCAAAAAAGAGATGGAAACACCCAATGTCTAGTTTGCAGGCCTCCATTTGTAATCCTCAGTCATCCTAAGTAAAGAAAACAATCACCCAGAAAGACAGAGATAAGTCCAAGTTCCTATATATTTAAACTGTCATGGCAGGTCAATCCGTCACTGATAGCATGTCTCTTATTAATTATGTAATCCTTAAAGCACAAAGCTTCTAAAAGATCTTAGGTTATTTGGAGCAGAGGGAGGCAGGCAAGAGGCAGAAAGTAAAGGATCAGTTGGATGTAAGAAAATTACCCTTGCTCTGAAAAGGCTACTTCCAGCTCCCTGATCCTGGATGGCACTGGTTACTTTCAAGCTTTTAGCCTGTAATCACCCAATATTGAAACCAGATTTACAGGCTCTTTACAGAGGGGAGCTTTTGTGATTTTCTAAAGCATACATGTTTGGTATTTTAGAAGGTCAAACCCCCTGTGGTATAGTGTTTTTAATAGAATCAGTTCAGCAGAAGTTAGGAGGAAACACATAAACCAATTCCCAGCAAGTCTGAGACCAATTCAAAAAGAGAGAGCAAAAGAACACAAAAGCTAGGACTGTCGTGCAAGACAAGATGGCCAGGAACATAGGGAGAGAGTGATGCTTGAGGACTATCGTAGGCATTCTGAACTAATCACTCAGAAGCTGGGGAAAATTCCCAGCTCAAAACAAAGAGGACTCAATTCTCCAGTCTATCATGTATAAGGGTCTGGATTCTACTGCACCCAAATGGAGCAGCATTTGAAAACAAAGTATACACCCCATCACCACCAAAGACTGGCACTGAATGTACTCTACCCTCCTCTCTCCTTCATATTAGCACCCTCCCTTCTGGTTTTAATCTTCTTGAATCATTGATTCCTCAAAATCTCTGCCTCAGAGGTCCCCCTGAAGAAAAAAGAAAAAAGGGTTCACACCTAGGCCCCTAGCCAGGCTATCTCTACACAAGGTAACTCAAACTTTGTTCAAAGCATGAACAAGGGTTAGTATTTTAAGAAACATGGGGACGTTTCCATATCAAGACTCCAATTTAGCTGTGGAAAGTGCACGAAGTCTGGTATCAAATAAGTAAGGTCCTATCTGAAAGGTAGAAACGAAGTTCTAGGTAATATGGAGAGTTATATGGATAATTATTAAGATGGAGCTAATCTAGTTGTTATTGCCTGGTTTGAGGAACACAGATCAGAAGTCAGCTGACTTCTAGTAGGCATAGGACCAGACCTCCATGAAAAGCACAAGTCAACAGAGACACATTAATTCGGAGGATGGGGCAGAAGAAATATGAAGTTAGAAACATAGGACAAAGGAATGGGAGAAGCTATTACATTTTCTGAAAATCCACTCCTTCCTGTAGGAGTTAACCAGTACAAATTTAACTTTGTTCACTTTGATGTAACTTTAATTTCATGATTTAACTTGAAGTCAATTTTCTGACTTAACAATTTATGAACTGGAATTGGGAAGCCTAATAATGGTCTCCAAGTATCTGAAAAGAGGGCAGAACTGAGAGCCATGAGTTGAAGCTGCTAATGCAGATTTCAGCTAGATATAAAGAAAAACTTATTAACAACCACCATCCAAACACAGAACATGCTGTCTTGGGAAGGGAAAATCCCTCCCCACCAAGGATGTTGGAGAGGCCTGACGCATTTAGATTAGACCAGATGTAGAGGCCAAATAATCCAACTCTTATTTTAAGGTAAGGGAAACGTTTAGCCCAAAGTGACACAGGTACTAATTGATTGGACCTGACTCCCAGCACAACTGCAGGTCTGCTGCAATACTGCTTTCTGCCCATTCAAGTAGGGGTTAGACTAAAGAACCTATGAAGAGTTTCTGATATTTTTTCCCCCTGATAACTTGGCCCTGGGTACCAGTGTATCAGAATCATGTGATATTGCCATGGGGTGGTAGAGGACGGAGAAATGTCAGTTCAACCCTGGTAAGACTGGCAGATCTACACATAGAAATCCTGCTTAAAGAACTATCCCTAACCTTACACAACAGTGGCAAAGACTAAACAGAAACGTATAGAACAAAAGTCCATGAGGCTCTAAGTTTCTAACTTGTTTCTAGGTTGAACAAACTAAAATATCAATAGATAAAGGACACTAAAATTTGACTCTAAAATTAATTTTTGCCAGGAACCTCAAAAAAGCACAATGCTAATGCTGTGACTTTAAATATTTAATTTTAAAAGGCTTCCTTATTATTCCAGAGTCTCATTTCCTTTATATCCCAGACAGGCTTCAGGGACCACGATAAATCAAAATTGATCCAAGCATTCAATTTAACTTTGGGGTCACTCTAGCTGTAGGTAGAACTGGTCATTACATTCACCTCATTATAGGTTCAATGTTTTTTCTTAACTTTCACAAAAATAATATGCCCCAGAAATGGAGAGTAAAAGCAAATGGTTTTTTCCCAAGTCATAGAAGAGAAAGCCTATTCCTGCACATATACAAGTTCATAGATCCTCAGCAAGTCATACACATGCTGTGGCCAGTAGACATACATAGATTAAGTATGAATTAAACATAGGCAATATCAGCCCTAAGAAAGTATTGAAGAAGACAGTGAATAAGATCTTATTTTAACCACATTAGTCACTTGGCTAACATCAATGCTACATTGGGTGGCATTAATCAAAGGCTAAGTGTAAAATAAGCTGAAGTGTTGACTTTCTACCACCATGCATTTTCAGATCTTGGCTGGCACTCCGGGCTCAGTTTTGTCAAGTTCTCTAGGAACCGAGGGAAATAAGGGAGATGTCAGTATAAGGAACAAACAGGTTTTAGAAAATAAGAGCTATGGTAAAATGGAAAATTGAGTCCATTTAAACTTGAAACAAAATGGAATAAGGAATAAATCACTCACCAATCCAAGTGAAAACTGATCAACTTAAATAAGAAAATTTAGGCTCTAGGGGGAAAAGAATAACTTATAAGAAAAAGGGTGAAACCAATTAAAACCAACACTATAAGCATTTCATAGAGATTTGACTGACATATCTAGGCTGGGATATAATTAAAACTAGTGTTACAGAGAAGGCTGAAAAACAGGATTCCCCTCACACAGACAATTCTCGGTAAGGGAAAGAAAGAGGGATATTGCACATTTGGGCACTATCCAATAGACCCCAAACAATACATGTGGGTACTTTTAACACTGTGACAGATAAGATCAAAACATTTATTGAGCATTGATTCCTTGCAACAGAGCCTCAAATATACAAGCTAATTCTGTAGTTAGATCATCTTCCAACTATTCTTTTAATTTAAGAAAGACACCACTAAATTTCAGACAAAATATATATAATATATATATTTATAAATCTTTACAATAAATCAAGAAACATATAGGAGCTTGTATACTGTATATTTCAGTTTATTTTGGTACTCATTTCCAGCTCCCTATAGTTCAAATAACCCTGGTGACAGTGTACAACTTCTACTTTTTTGCTTTTACAGCTTTAAAGCAAATAATACATTTGAGTGTATTTTAAATCTGTGCAAATAATCCTTCAGAAGAAATCTCCAAGACTCTGTTTGTAGAGGTTATTTTCTCTCTCAAAGACGATTAGTGACTTTTGTTTTGTTTTTCTTCAGATAAAGTGCTCCTGTCCAGCAGAATCCAAAGGCCTTCAAGAGTTTTGGTTTTTGTTTTTTTCCCCCCATTAAGTTTAACTCAGGTAAAACTTGGTCATACAAATTCCAGCTTTCCATGCCCACTGTACATTCCCCAGTGAACCAGTGAGAGGATTTTCTCGTTGCTGAGGTCTGTTTGTCTCATTTTATCACAGCTCATGCAGCAGTTCTCATGCCCACTGACTGGCACCATGCACTCCAAGTCTAACTTCGCCACCTGTCCCTTTTTGGAATGGTGTCCATGAAAACTATAGTGCAAACGGGAAATCATCTGCTGCCGCTGGTCCTGAAGTCTCTTGTTTTCACTGCGGAGCATCCTCAGAGCTAACATAATAAGCAGCACTAAGATCAGCCCGCCAGCGATGGGTACTGCAATGACGGCTGCTCGGAACCACAACTCCTTGGAAGAGGTCAGCTCCTGGACCTTGGTGATGAGATTTCGGCTGCTGTCGTGCTGATATCTGCTTCCTTGGCCTGCCGGGAACAGGACGAGAAAACCATCAATACTCTTATTTTAACTTAGTGACAGGTCAATTTTGACATACCCCATAGGAAAAACACACGATCACAACAAAAAGCCCTAAGATCTACTTGGCACAAAAGTGTTGGTTAAGACAATCCCAACCCTTTTCTAAAATATTAAGCTGTGGACTACAGTCTCTAAGTCACCAAACATGAATGAGGACTAATGTTCTTTAACCTCGTAGAAATGTTGAAAAAAACAGGCCAAGTCTATTAGGCAGACAGACATCTAATGCTTGTGCAGACATAAAAGCTACTCAAGAGAGACGCATTTTTGCATCCAGCCACACTTCTCCCTCTGGTGTCTAATTACATTAACAACAAAATCAATAGCAGACATACAAAGTATTGGCTGTCACAGGCCTATAGATCAGGCAAGCGATTTAGTTTACAAAACCTCCTTCTCCCTACCTGAGGTCTCACCCTTGGGAGCAGAAAGAACATCTTGCAGGCCTCTATAATTGCACATATCTTCATGACAACATTCCAATGTGGGCACAGCGGTGCCGGAGTGGTTTTGTGCCTGTTTGGCTTGGCAGATGTCTGCTGTGCTTGCAATAGAGTCCAGGCAGCCATGAGTAAGTGGGGAATTTGTGTTCTGGGGGTCAAGAAGTCTTGAGAAGCAGGCATTCAGCTCCGATTTACACATATAGCCAGTTGCGACACAGTGGGCTGCATCACAGTAGCATCGGATTTCACCTGAAAAGGAAAAGAATGATCAACTCAGCTACCTGGCCCCATAAGCACCAGTTGCCCAAATGGAAGCAGTGGAGGGGAGGGGGGAGGGAGAGGGAGAGATAGAAGGGAGAGTATGGAAAGAGGGAAGGGGTTGGGGGGAAGTCCTAACAGGAAAAATTTCTGTAGCTAGTTCACTATAGCAAAATTTCATTCAAGGTCTTTTTCACTGTGATACCTTTTATTTATTTTTGGGAGGGAGGGGAATAGAATATTAAGAAAGACTAAAAGAGAAGTTATGGCTGAGAAGTCACTTTAGAGCATTCAGCTATATATCACCATGGAACATTATTGAGAAAACACTAAGGATAATTGGTGACTAAATTCCAGTTCGTATTGGAATCCCATAATGCTACATTCTGACCATAAGCTATGGGTCAACAGAGTTTTACAGTCACAAAGTTCTGAAGAGATAGAGGGTAATTAAAACAGTGCTTTTAAAAAAAGTAATAACCTCTTTTTTTCTTGGTTTTTCCCCCTTTACAGGAAAGGTAAATTACATTATTTATTCACTCCATTCCCACATGACCAGAGAACATAAAAATGCTGGTCTTTTTGATTTTGTCAGTATAAATATTTGATCGGAACTGCTGAATTGTTTACTACCTCCAAGAGCTATGCCAAGGTTTAAGAGCTTTACCTAACACCTTATAAAGTTATTAAGTAGAACCGTAACAATCTAGAAACTTTTTTTAGTCAGAGGCTTTAAAAACTATGAAACTGGGCAGCCACTCTACAGTGTCCCCAGAAAAGGCAACTTCTCCTATAAAGATCTTTTCATGCAAAGGAGTTTTTTAGCCAGTATACTGTAAAATGGGCACAGAGCAATTTACAATTAGTGGTTTGTTTGCCAAAGTCAATTTCTTTCAACCTAAATGGAAAGTCATAAAAAGAAGCAAATCTGCAAAATGCTCAAGAGCCTTCTCCTCCCTCTCCTCCCCTTCATATTAGCTCACCCTCCCTTCCAGTTTTACATGAAATTCAACATGTGACCTAAAAGGGGAAACATTTAAACTGGAAAATCCTCCACTGGTTGTATTAACCAAAAAAAAAAATCTTTCAGGAAACCTCAAAATTTTCTGAAGGAAGTGATTTTTTAAAGTTTCTTTCATAAAACTCACTTTGTGAGCTCCGTTACCTCTTAAGAGCAATGTGACACTTTCCTATATAAAAATTAAAGCTCAAATATTCCAGGATCCAGAGTTATCTCTGATCTAGCAGTCCCATAAAATCAGACTTCACTCATTGTTCTATGCAGTAGTTGAGGCAACTTTCACTTGAACTGATGCACCCCCTTTCCATGCCAGGTTCTCAAAATCTGGAAATCTGTCTTGCATTTGAAGTCTAAATTCTGAAAATAAGCACCAGTGACTCTCCTACAAACCTATTCTCACTCTCTCCTTGAGGGCCCCCTCCCCTTCTTTCTAAGCTCCTTCCCAAACACTACATGGTTTGTGAAAGGTGAATCAGCTGATTTTTCTGACTCATTTTCAGCCCACCTTGGCCCACAAGGCTGCTCCTGCCACTGTTTTAAGGCTCTAAAACAAGAATACACAACACACTCTGGTAGCTGGGTTTAAACACTGGTGAAAAAATGGAGTGTCTTGCTCCTACGTCCTAACTCATTCTCTTGGGCTTAATAACCCAAAGTAAAATGAGCTTCCTTCCTTCGATCCTCTCTTCGCTCCCCTACCCCAGCTTCAGGAAGTCCTCCCAGGTCCTCTCTGTAGTTTCCTCCCCTGAACATTCATCAGTGTTTTTCATGTAATATCAATAGATCTTGAAGGTATGATGAGGCTCCAACTTCCAATTTAAGGAAGTGAAATAAAAGTAAATTCACTTTTAAAGAAAATTTTACACATAACACTTTAATTATTAAAATGGGAAAACTGAACATAAGATGCCATTTTAAATGTTCGTAAGGCCCGTTTAAAATGTTACATTTTTATTGACCTAAAATGGTCTAATAAACAAATTTTGACAGGCCAGTCATAAGATTGTAACAACTCTTTTTAATTAGAGCCACATTTTTTTTTTGCAAAGAGAATGGACTTTTGTACTACTGTATTAAAACTGTATTTTTTTGTCATTTCATAAAGTTTCTTCCTGTGGTATGCAAAAGGCCAGAAAGGGTATTGGTATTTTGAAACAGTGAACAATGCTCTTCTGTTTCCCCCCCACACCCCCCATTCTTGTTACTGTATGTAGCTATTAAACAAAAATGTCTGCTTTTAGTCAAAGATGGCTACAGGAGACTGCAGGCTTCCCTTAAAGCTTTTGAAGTTAACAGCAGTCAGAAGTCTGTGATCCCCTAATTATATCATTATCAGGCACATAGTTTCAGTATCTGTGACTTCACATCAGTCTCAGTCACTCCCTGTTCTGCCTGCCTTTGATGGGGCCAGAAGGCTCCCCTCTGCAGGCTGCAAGGGCTGTTATTTAGGGTTAATTACACCCTTCCTTCCAAAATAAATAAATACTGAAGCACATCATCATCACTGTGCTAGCTTATCCTTTAACCTCATGCAGGGAACATGGCAATTATAGGAGGGGGGGGAGTGATGGAAAAGCTAAATACTGCTCCTTACTTAAAATACATCTATTATCTATTCACATACTGTTGTGGGGGGTGGGAAGGAGAATCCAACAAAGTATAAAGGAAGTCTCCTTCCATTTCTACCTGAAAGGTGGAAAAACTGCGGTTAAGAAAACTTCCAAATACCCAACCTACCCCCTTTTCGTGGGGAGATCCGTGTAAAGTATGAAATGCCTGCTAAAAAATAGAAGTACCGTCGAGTGAACATCTTTGCCTGTCCTAGCAATGGAAAGCAATACACATACTCACACTCACACTTACACACAAGCTAGGGCTAGGGGTGAGGGGAGGAAAGGCTCTGCTGATCCTTTTCCTCGCCCGCGGCCCTTGGGGAGAAGAGGCGGTGCTCTGAGCCTGTTAAGATGGCCCCGCTCCACGACTGGAAACGTTCAGAAGTTCATTAAAGACAGACTAACAAAAACATTTTGACAACCACTTGCCCCGGAGGTCTAACTTTACATCAATGAACCGGGGCAACGACTCAGGGAACTGGAAGGGGCAGCGGAGGCGGAGAGAAAAGGAGAAGGCGGGGGAGGGGGGAGGGAAGGGAGAGTCCGAGGGTGCCAGTGTCTCCAGCAGCCCGAGAACGCACCGCAGCCACTTCTAAGAACGCACCAACTTGTTGTGACCTGTGGGCCCCGACGCGCTGCGGGAGGAAATCTCACTGGCTGCTAACAAAGGCTTGGCAGCCAGCTTCAAAGCCCACTTGGCCCGGGTGCATTAGACGGATTCCCCACCACCCCCAGCCCGTGCTGTGCCCTGCGGACAAACTGCGCCGCTCCACTCTACTCCGCGCTCAGATACTCCGCTCCCACTGTCCTCCCCCCCACGTGGAAAAGTCGGGGTGTGGGGCTGGTGGAGGAGGAAGCAGCAAAACGGGAAATAGGACAACCCACTTCTCCAAGAAACCTGGGAGACGAGGGTGCTTTCATCTCCCAGATTGCCATTCTGGTTCATCAGTCCAGCGTGTAGGTCCACGCGCACGGACATACACGTAGAAACACACACAGACACACACTCGCCCTGCAGCCGCCCCCCTCTTGCACTCCTCGGGGCGCGCCCACTCACTCACCTTTGGTGAGCAGGATGGCCATGGCGCACAGCTCGATTTGCAGCCAGATGAAGATGTAACTGGAATGGCGATCCATTTAACCCCCCCACCCTGGCGTGGCGCCCCCGCCCGGGGCTCCCGATGTCGGGGGGCTCCGCGGCAGCCTAGGACCCCTCAGCAGGGCTGCTCATGGGCGCTCGCACAGCGCGCAGCCGACAGACAGACTGATGGACTGGAGCGCAGCCAAGCGGCCGGCGCCCCCGGGTCGCCTCCAAGTCCCCGCTCGCCGTCTCTGTCTGTCCTTCCCAAAGGCCGGCGGGTCAGGGCACAGTCCGCGGCAGGAGCCAGTCCCCGCCGGCTGCTGTAGAAAAAAGGGAAGGCAGGAGGAAAAGTTTTGCCGCCGCCTCGGCCAACCCAAGTTGCCCTAGTCTGCCCCGCGCGTCCGGGCGCTTCTCTCCAGGCGCCGCCGCTGCCCGTTTCTGCTGCTCCAGCCCGGGGAAGCGGGCTCAGCCTGCCCGGCAGCCCGCACAAACCAGATCGCTTTCTCTGAAAGGAAAAAAACGTTTGCGAAGCTCTCAAAAGCTCCGGGACGGCGACTCTCTGCACGGCCTTAGTCAGAGCCTCTGCCTCGGCTTGCTCGTCTCCTGCGCTGTAAATAGCGCCGCGGAACCCTGAGCTCAGCCTGCTGGAGTCCCTCCCCCTGCCCCGCCCTCTGGGAGCTCTAAGCGCCGCAATACGCGGTCGGGATTGGCCCAGCAGCCTTTGTCAGTCAATTCCGGGGGGGGGGAGGATGGGCGCGAGGGAGGGGGCGGATTTGGCTTCCAACTCCCTGGCCCTGGAGAGCTTGAATTTGCTTAGCTATAGCGCGCAGTCTTCTCTGTGCGTCCTCTCACTCATCTCACAGACACACACACACACACACACACACACACACACACACACACACACACACACACACACACACACACACACACACAAAAGAAGTCAACCACCAATTTATAGTCCCCACCCTATGTTTGCTTCCCCCGCCTTTAAAATATTTTAATAGCTTCCATTTACACAACTCTATACAAAGTGCTGTCCTCGCTACAGTCTCATGAGGTAAGGTAAGTATCATCCTTGTTTTACAACTGAGGAAACTGAGGCCAGAGACTTAGTGATGCCAGTAATCCGCACAGCGAGGGTGGGGCTGACCCGACTCTCCAGCAAAAGCTGCTCCTCCGATGCTCTTTTGTTGGCCCTGCACTACCTCTGCATCCCAACTGGTTCTCATTTCCTTACTCATGCTTGCCTCCCTCTCGACCTCCACAAAGCCTCGACTTTCACATCTCCACTTCTCTCGATCTCCGCACTCGTCTGTCTGCCAACCTGGGCTCAGAGCAGCACAAGCCTAGAGAACAGGTGTTGGTCCCTCAACCTTCGGTTCTAGGCATCCTGGGACAGTCCCGTCAGGCTGCTACAAGAGCCTTTTTGAAAATATTAGGAAAAGAAGCGAGACGCTCAAACCCAGGGGCATGCACGTAGCTGCCAGGTTGGGAAAGGAGGTCGTTTTCAGCTGCCTCCCTATTCTTCTCCCTGCCACACTCACCCGCCTTGAACCACCCTCCCCATGATCAATAAAGCCCAGACAGACAGACTGTTGATCAGAAGGAGCCGAGTTGGTTCCTTCTCCCCAGTAGACTGGGTAAGAGTAGCCAGCTAGAGACACTTAACGAAAATTAGCAAATCCAAAAGCACCAGGCGCCAGTGAGACGACACAGACCGAGACTGACACTCAATTATCCCCCCAAACAATCGCAGGCAAACACACAGGCAGAACCTGATCAATATCAGTCCCGCAGTGATCTCCTTACTGAAATGCTAATTCACTTATTAGGGCTTGCTCAGAAGCCAGCCAGCTAACACACCCAAGTCAGGTTAGGTCTTTGGGGATTTGGTTCGAAACTCTCCAATGAATTCCCCACAGCACTGCAACAAACTAAATTCACTGGCAAACTTGTCTTTTAAAACCAACCTATACAAAGTTCTCCAGCCTAAACAGGTACAGAACAGACACTGTTTTCTGGTTGTTTAAAAAAAAAAAAAGACATCTCCCTGGAGACGAGTTTATTTATTTTATACCAAGGTGGCAGGTGTTAGGTCAAATCCTTTAAAACAGTAGTGAACATTAGTGCTGAGAAATGTGAACTGGTCCTTTGGGTGGAATCACCTAAAAACGTCCTAGCCTTAAAGTTGAATAGATGTTATATGTTTACAAATTTCACTGAGAAAAAGATACTAGAAGAAATGGCCTATGAAAATAATATGTTTCCATAGAAAATGCTTGGAAAAACTTTGAAAAGCTTTTGTAAAAAAAAAAAATCACTGAATTAAAATCCATTTGAAGAAAGGGAGGGGCGAATCAAGCACTTGAAGAATTAGTTCTGAGACAAAAGTGCAGAGCTGAGGACTACAGTAGATAGTTTGTGTTTCTCAAAGGCAATGAGATGTCTTTGAAGTAAAGTTTACTTAAACCAGATTTAAATCTTTGCAATTTCTGTTTCTTTTGACCAGCTAATAATTCCACTTATGATGCAGGCTATTCATAAATTAGAAAGGAAAAAAACCCTGAAAGTTTTAAAGTTGCCAGCTAGTCAGCAAGAAATTAACCATCCAATTTGAATGTGGTTATCCAGTTAACCAAAGGTTAACTTTTGGGTTTGGGGGAGTGATCCCGGAAGCTCGCTGTTATCTGGTAATTAGTGCTTTATTTCTGCTCGTTCATTATGTATGCATTTTTTAAAGTTTTTGGTAACAAAAATACATTCCACCTTCTCTCATAATTCAGAGCAACCAACTTTTGAGGATTCCTCCAACAGTAAATTAAGTTAGTTTCGTTGCTGTAGACATGAAAATCATATTCAAGTAGAGCACTACTCTCAACATTTTATAACCCATGTGAGTATGACAGCATTGGAGAGGAGACAGTGTCTCAGATGATGGAACAAAGTCATTTGAGAAATGACTATGAGAAATGAAAAATATGAAAAATAAAAAATTATTTAGGAAGAGTACAGTAGGCCTTCAGCAGTTAGCTTCCTAGCTCTCCTCAAGGTAAAAAAGGTCTTTGTTATATAATTTTCATAAAATTTTTAAGATAACCTTTTCATTCCTTATTTTCACGTGTAGGTGGCTAGAAAGGACATGGTTAGAGCAGGAAAAAAGGAAACAAAATCTGGTATTCTTTGAACTTTCAGTTTAAGGAAACTTTTGTGCTCTGGGACAAAAAAAAAGAGAGAGAGAAGGAAATTTTGTTATAACCAAGAAAAAAAGTTTGTGCTGTCTTTTAGTAAGATCAGCAGGACCACACTAGGCATTAATGATGCTTTTGCTGCCTCCTCTTTGAATAAAGTTCTAGGTAAGACTTGCATGTGAATGTATGCGTTAGAACCACAAGTCCTCACTACTCTGCACTTTCATCTTTGCCACATGCCATAATATCATTTTCTAAATTTTGTTTTCATATGGAAACTACAGAAAACAAAAACAAAGACTGTTTTTTCACAGCACCCATTGATTGCTACCCAAACTGTAAAAGCTGTGATCAGATCTAGCATAACCATATTTGAACGCCAAAGAAAAAAGTACTACTTACCACAGTTATATGTGATTCCCACCTTCAGGAATTTCTTTCCATGATACTGAAGAAAAACACCTTTAGTTGCATCAAATTCATAGAAAAAATGCAATCATTTTCAAGTGACCACCAGGCTCACAACATTGAAGCCCTTTAATGATAGAATCAAATATTTAGGTACGTTACACAAATTTTCCAAAATACACAGACTTTTCAGCAGAGTTCAGGTGAGATCTAGAATTCCCAGGAGCACCTTTTAAAAATCCCATATTCTCAGTAGCAGTTGAAAGTGCAGACCTAAAATTGACTTTCATTGGAATAGGGTCAGAGGTGGGAGATTAGCCCAGTTCAAAGGAATGACAGTCTAGTGAAACATTTTTTTTTCCACCAAAATGGAATGAGAGATAAGGACTGCAGAGGCCTGGGGCAGTATGATAGAACCTAGGAGGAAAGTTAGCCCAGAGCTTTACTTTTGTTGACTGAAGTCCACATTCCAAAAGGGCCTTCCTCCCTCCCACAGTCAAGCATAAATAGAATGAGGTCTTACAAACTTGCCTGGCTTCTCTTTTCTCCCAACCTGCTTATAAAGCACCTATCAAACAGCCCTATGTTATAGATGCTATTTTAATCAGGCCAGCTTGATTATCAGAGGAACATATCCTACACTGTTACTGACCTCTGCACATGTCTTAGCTCTTTCCAGGCCTTGGTGTTGTTGTTCAGTTCTAGCAGACTCTTCATGAGAACCATGGTGCTGTTCATGGGGTTTTCTTGGCAAAGGTGCCACAGTGGTTTGCCTTTTCCTTCTCCAGCTCATTTGATAGATAAGGAAACTGAGGCAAACAGGGTTAAGCCACTTGCCCAGGGTCACACAGCTAATAAGTGTCAAAAGCCCAATTTGAACTGGGATCTTCCTGATTTGGGCCCTGGCACTCTATGCTTTGCCTCTTAGATGCCCAGAGACTACATTTTAGTCAACAGATAGAACGGCAACAGTCTCTGCTCTAAAGTGTTTCTGTTGGACATTAAAACTTTTGGATATTTATTTCAATTTGATTGACTCTTTATCTCCAAAATGCCTTTCCTTTATTCCCCAGAAACCACCCTACCCATACACCAATCACTCCATGTTTAGGCTTTCTCATCCCTCTGTCCTTGGTTCATTTTTAATACCTCCTCTAATCAGAAGGCCTTCACCTCCGATACTGGATCTTCCAGTTGGAATTTTAGAATTTTAGAAGAGAATTTTAAGGTTTTTGAAGTTCTTCACAAAACAGAGTGTCCCATAAGCCTTAGTGCAGTTTTAAGCTTATTTCTAAAGCTTTAAACAGGATTAAACTGCACTAAGACTTTTAGGAGAGCCTGTATTATCTCAACTGATCCTCCCAGCAAATCTGTGAGGTAAGTGCCATTATCTTCACTTTCATGGTGAGGAAACTGAAGCAAGTTAAGTGATTTGTCCAGGATCGAACTGTTAAAAAGTTTCTGGTCTTTCTGACTCCCAGTGCAAAATTTTATCTAGTATGCCAAACTGCCTCCTATTGGCTAATAAACATAGTGATATCTTTATTTCCACTACATTGTTCCCAATTTCCATTCATCTGTCCTGTTGTTTAGGAGACTATGGCCCAGCATAATTTCAATATACATTTATTAAGTACCTGAGATGTGCAAAGTATTATGCTAAGATAAGATAAGAAAGAAAGAAAGAAAGAAAGAAAGGAAGGAAGGAAGGAAGGAAGGAAGGAAGGAAGGAAGGAAGGAAGGAAGGAAGGAAGAAAAGAAGAAAGAAAGAAAGAAAGAAAGAAAGAAAGAAAGAAAGAAAGAAAGAAAGAAAGAAAGAAAGAAAGAAAGAAAGAAAGAAAGAAAGGAAGGAAGGAAGGAAGGAAGGAAGGAAGGAAGGAAGGAAGGAAGGAAGGAAGGAAGGAAGGAAGGAAGAAAGATGGATAGAGAGATGGATAGAGAGATGATAGAGAGATGGATAGAGAGATGGATAGAGAAATAGATGAATAGGAAGAGCCATTGACCTTAGACATTCTACCAA